ATCATGTTGTCATCAGTCTGTAAAGGTGACAGGAAGGTCTGAGGTCTGGGGGTGACAGGATCCTCACCTCCACTTTCTGATCATGTTGTCATCAGTCTGTAAAGGTGACAGGAAGGTCTGAGGTCTGGGGGTGACAGGATCCTTACCTCCGCTGTCTTTTCCATCTCTACCTTGGTTACCATTTCTGAGGTTTGGGTAAGGGGACACTGCTGACATTGGTTGGCTGGGATCGGTGACATCCTGCAATGACTAGACCATGTCCTCCTGCACTCTGGACTGTGGGATCAGGGGAGTCAGCACTGAGCCAGCATGTGAGTGTGTTTTGTCCCCGCAGAAGGAGGGGGAGTTCACCTTGCATGGCCGGGCCATCTTGGAGATGGAGCAGTTCATCCGAGAGTCCTACCCGGATGCCGTGAAGATATGCAACATTTGCCACAGCCTCCTCATCCAGGTACTGAAGACACTGGGAGCAGGGTTCTGATGCTCAGCCCACTTGGCCTCCACTGTTGTGTCCCCAACAGTCAGCGCCTTCTGGACAGGCCATGATCTACTCCCTTGCTGGTGCACCCCTGGTTCTCTCCCTAGCCATTCCACTCTAGCCCAGGGTGCTGCTGGGTGTTGCTGATAACTTTGGTAGAGGGGGTTCCTTAAGTCTTGGTGGCTCTGTGACAAATGTCTCTCTGTACCCACCCACCGTTGTGCTTCTCACTGCAGGCTTTCCCACCATTCAGCCAGGCTGGTTGCCCATATTTGCTTCGTTTTATCGTGGGCAAGCAGGTTCCATGCTGAGCTTCTGAGTGCGTATCCACAGGTGTCTGTGGTCTTTCCATGGTCAGACTCTGGGAGGTGGAGTCTGTGGCTTACCCCATGCTTGTGTTGACCTTAAGTGTGCGATACATGTCGTCATTCAGCCTACTGCACAGCTCTGCCTATACCTCCCACCTGGGGATCTCTGAACAGCGAGCCTGACTCTGGAGCTACAGGGGCCTAGTAGGGAGTGAGGTTTTCAGTGTCTCCACTTGTTCAAAATTCTGTAGTGCAGCATTAAGTTGGGTTCTAGAAGTTTAAATCTCCATCCTGCTCACCATTTTCTTGCAGCTTTCTGAAGTTTGTGAAGTTGAGGGATGTCCTTGCTTCATGGTCATCGGCCTTTCTTGTTTCAGGGTCAGAGCTGCGAGACATGTGGTATTAGGATGCATTTGCCTTGTGTGGCCAAGTACTTCCAGTCCACCTCTGAGCCACGCTGCCCCCACTGCAATGACTACTGGCCCCATGACATACCAGGTACATGACCCCAGAGTGCCCATGGGAGGGAGCGGCCTTGTGATGGGCTGTCTGTGGGACCTCAGTTCTGTGGCTGGGCACCAAGAGCACCCTTGGAGGGAGGACTGAGAAGGACTCCGAGCATGAAGGTCAGTGTTGGTGACCGGCTGAAGCACAGGTGAAAGCTGCTTGCCTGCCTTGTTCTAAAGGGATCCAGATCCAAGGGAAACCTCAAAGCTCGTGAGAGTCCCAAAAAAGGCTTGCCTCATAGCCCGTCCAGGAAGAGGGATGGGAAAGCCATTTCCCAGCACCCTCAGTGAACTTTGCTGCCTGGCTCAAGTGCTGAGGGGGAGAAGGGTTAGCAGTGAATTACAGACAGGACAGGTCCTCTGCATGGGAAGTAGTTGTAGCTATCAGCTGTGTTCTGTGTGATCAGTCCATTGATCACACAGCTTACTGTGTCTCCCTGCTGTTCTATACACAGAAGTCTTCGACCCTGAGAAGGAGAGGGAGGCTGGCATCTCCAGGTCGAGCAGAAAGTCCTTGCGGACCCGTCAGCACTAGCTGTGTCCTGCATGGCTCTCGCTGTTGGTGGACTGATTGATCCTCACGACCCATTCAGACCAGGGCCCTGACACATGGCACATGAATTGCCTCCCTTGTTATTTGCGCTTAACATATTTTTAATAAATGTTTCCTGATGGTTGCTGTACTCTGCAATCTCGAGTTTGTGTGGGGCTGGGTTCCCCAGTCAAGTGAACTGAACGGCAGCACTGGGTCAGAGCCACTGCCAGTCCTGGGCAGGTGTCTCTGTGTCTGGCTCTGGGTGGTTTTGGTCGATGACCTTGGCCTTAGTGTCCATAGCTACAATAGCATCTTACTCTGGCCCCAGTGTAGTAGCTCCTGCATGCTGGGCTGGACTCATTTTGTGCTGTTCACATAGGGCCTTTTGTCCACTGGTTATTTCAGCAAGTAGCCTGAGAGCCCAGTCTCTTTGTCCCTGGCAATCTATATGAGGTTATCCTCAAAGCCCTTGCTGTTTGGCCCCACAACTGCTGTCCAAACCAGAACCTACCCCATCACCAGCTTAGCAGCTGCTCAGGTCCTGGTTCCATTCCTTTTGGACAGTCACATGCCACACCCTGCTGAGACCTGTTTTGATTTAGGATGATTGAATTGAATTAGGACACACAGTGGGGTTCTCACCTGCTCACCTCAGCCTTCCTTCCTTTCTCAACTCCTCCCCTTTGGTCCCTGGACTCACCACCGTAGTACCCAGTGCCCTTCCTTGATCAGTTCTTGCCATACTGTGGTTCTCTGCCTGCTTCTATTTTGCCCCAACACGTCAGAACCCATATTGGCCCAAATGAGGACTGATGTGGCCACAGGTTCCTTCTGGAGGGGCTAGGCTTGTGGTTCCAGTGATGTCACAGGAACCTTTGTGATGTCACTTTCTGCCTCTGTCGAACTCTGGCAGAAAAGCAGAGCCCATCTAGAAAGGCCAGGGCTTTTTTTGAGTCCCCAGTCCCAGGATGTCCTGTACCCTCAGAGCTTTTAAGGTATAGCTCAGGAATCCCTGTAGCTCTGCCCTAGGACTACCCTGGGCATGGTGCCTCTCCAGTCCCTGTGCTGGGATGTCCAACTGCCTCCCTGTCCTGTGTTGCAGTGTTACAGTTCAGGCCATCCCTGAGGTGACCAAGGAGCTCTGGAGATAGAAGCTCTCCTGCCACCTGTCTCCCTATCTCCAGCGTTTTCCCAGGGTACCAGCCAGTCATATAAGCATCTCAAAGGGATTGATACTCTCCACCCCAAACCCTCACTATCCCAGACCCTAGTTTGATGTCCTTTACAATCTGTTCTGCCCTCTCTGCCAGTGCCCTCTGGTCCCACTGGTGCCATGGGTGGGAATCACTGACTGGACCAGGCCCCTCCTGTTCCCAGCCTTCCCATTTCCAGGTCTCGGTCTACACTGTGACATCGAAGACCAGTGGCTTCAGCCTGTGCTCATTCCTGATACTGCTCCAGTTGTGCTGTCCCTTCCTTTCCCTTTCCTGGGCCTAGCCGATCCTCTTGGGGCCTGTCCTAGTTCACTTCTGTTGCTCTGGTAAATACCATAGCCAGGAGCCTGGGGAGGAGAGACTTTCTCCTTACAGTTTTCAGTCCATCACGAAGGGCAGGAACTCAAGGTAGGAGAGACCTGGAGGCAGGAACTGAAGCAGAGGCCATCGACGGGTGCTGCTTACTGGCTTCCTTTCTTTCCTTCCTTTCCTCCCTGTGTTCTCTCCCTGTGCCTGTGCCTTACTTAGTCTGCAGAGGCAGGTGGAGCAGAGCAAGCTCCAGGACAAGCACCAAAGTCACAGAGAAACCCTGTCTTGAAAAACCAAAACAAATGAACAAACAAAAGAAAAAGAAGAACATGCCCTACAGACTTGTCTTGAAAGTCCTCTTCCTAGATGAGTAGCTTTTGTCAAGTTGATAACAAAAAAACCCAACCCAACCAACCAACCAGCCAAACAAACAAAACCCCAACCAGGACAGGGCTGCTAGTGCTGTGTTTCCAAGACAGCTTGAGAGTCCATTCTCGCCAGTGAGTAGAAGGCAGCCGTCCAGGCAGGTTCCAGCAGCAGCCTTGGGACCTGCCCATAGGCAGAGCCATTCCATCCTCCCTGTCCCTCATCTGGTGATTGCCATCTCTCTGCTGCTCAGCAGTGGCCCAGAATAGTATTGAACTTGCTGGTTGTTAGAGGGGTACAGGGTACAGGCTGGGCCAGTGCCCCCCACCCTCCTGGGGATGGGTGGCTCATCATTAGGGCACATCATCTGGAATGCTGGCTTTCCTACTCTATGCCTTAGTGCTCCGAGCAGCACTGCTGTTGTAGTAATTGTCCAAGTGAGATGATGTAAGCAACTGCTAATCGCCAAGAGGATGCCAACCTCAAAGGCCCCTGCTGCCTACTCCCTGGGCTTCTGGCTGCCTCAGCCTGATGTACATCCCTCCCTGCCAAAGCTAGCTGTCTAAAAAGGCATACTCTGATGGTCTAGACTCCCAGATCCTGTGTGACCAAGCTTAGATTTCTTGGCCTGGTCATCTTCTTGTCACTGGGATGGGGTGGAGCTGGAAACTAGGCCTGTCAATCATCAGCCATCCCTGAGGCCACAGGCCTAGCCACCAGCATCCTTACTGGTGATTCTTGGTCTGAGGTAAAGGGTCCAGCAGTTAGTACTGGGGGTCAAGATGTGGAGAAGGAGATGAAGTCAGAGCTGCCCTCTTCCCCGTTCCAGAAAAGGGAATACAGTGAAACCAACTGGAGACCAGAGAAGTGGAGGAGGGAAGGTTGGGAACCATGGCCTGGAGTGGAGACCTGTTCCGAGCCATCCAGGAGTGCTGTAGGAATACACGGGTCTTATGTAAGCTAGTTAAGGATAGTTTCATCACCAACAAGCCAGGCCAGCCCATCGAGAGCTAGGCCTGCACACTCTATACACCTTTAGTTATAGCCTGCTCTGCCAGCCTCCCAAGGCTCCAGAGTCCCCACCTACTGTGCAGGCCCCTTGGTCTCTGCTTTTCTGAGCCAGCCTCTGTGTGACACATTTGGCTCCCTTCCTTCAGCACCACTTACCAAGAGAGTTCATGGGCAGGGGTGTCTCCCTTGAGGGCCCATATTCCCCACCCTTCCTTTTCCAATGCCTCTGTGGTTGCCTGCTCTGCCACAGGCAGGAGGGAAATTTAGTTGAATTTAGAAAATATTTTTATTCATGTTATTGAAAAAATGTATGTTACAAAGAAAAGGAGCATCCATAATCGGGATCCATAACCTGGGTGCGCACAGCAGCTCTGCACACAACGCGTCCTACAGAGAGTATCTGGGGAAACGGGACTCGTGGACTCTAGCAGCACCCAGGGCTTCCTACCTGGCTCACTTCCTTTGGTGAGGTATCTGCCCAGTGGGTCCTTTGCACCCTGGCTCTGGCTACGACCACCAGAAGCTCACTGAGAAACTCAGGTCCAGGGAACGCACATAATGCCAATACTTAGCAGGTATAAAGAGGGTCTCTCCTGGGGACAGGATACAGGACAGGAATGGGGCCTCAGCAAACTTGGGGAACTTGTCTAGGTTGGGGTTCTCCACATCAACCTGTAGAAAGCAAAAAAAAAAAAATTTACCTGCTGGTCTCTAGGCACAGCAGGCCCCATGCCACCGATTCCCCGTGTGCCCACCTGGCTGGTGTTATGAAGAAGGTGTGTCTCATGAGGGTACACTGCCTCAGACTCTTGCGGGGAATACAGCCGGATGTACTTCCTTCCTAAGACCTGGGAGAGAAGAGGCCTGTCAGCTTCACTGTCCTGCTCACTATAGGCCCACGGTCCCTCCCGTCATTCCAGGCCTTTCTGGTGCCTAATGTCCCGCAGCCTCGTCCCACCACATGCTGGCATTCTGAGAGTGCTCCCTTCAGGTACTTACAGATCAGTGTTCTGCCTCTAGCTAAGCTTCGCCAAGCACTGAGTGTGGACCTGGCTATAAATCTCAGAGGAGTTTCCTCTTCATGTGGAGACAAAGTGTTGTTCACATTTACTAAGGTGACAACTGGTAGCCATCCAGGCAGTGGGCTCATGGGCCCTGGCTCTTAGCTGCTCCTGAGCTGCCGTGCAGGGCTGGCTCAGTGCTCTGCAAGCATGCTCTCATGTATTAAGTCTTCTTAGCAACTGAGCCTGTGCTAAGTTCTTAGAGCAATGGGTGTGTGCTCTTTCCCTTGTGACAACCTTTGAGTCTCTGGAACATCACAATGGCTAAGAGACCTGTCCTGTCAGCCATAATCCACAGATGCAAGCTAGCAGTGGGGATGAGGGTGGCTGGCAGGCGGCAGTGATGGCATAGGGCTGCTAGAATGTGCCAGGCCCTCCTTCCAAGAGCTTTCCTGCCTGGTCCCAGAGAAATCCCACTTGACTGTAGCCTTGACTTGGGAGAAGCCCTATTCCAGGGCCTCAGGGCTATTTTTTAGTTTTTCTGTCTATATCCTTTTCACTTCCCTTTCCTCCCCCACCCCCTTTTGAGATCAGGTCTCCTGTAGCTCAGACTGGTCTTGAACTGACTAGGTGGATGAGGATGACCTTGAACCTCCAAGTGCTGGGATTTTGGGTATTTACCACAACAAGCTCCTTACTAAGCCCCTGTCTGGCATCAACTCCTACCTGGACCAGGAAGTTCTGCTGGGGGTCATGATGCAGTGGGGAGATAGTTCCTTTGGGACCAAACCAGGCATTGATAGTGATCTCTTCCTCTTCCCCGTTGCCCAGGCAACAGTAATCGGGGATGCTGATGTCCTGTTTCAACTCTGGGATCTGAGGGTAGTGGGAGGAAGCAGAAGACAGGGCTAGGTATGCCAGCCAGGACCCAGCTGATACCTGACTGCTTGATATATTCCTTGATTCATTTTGTTGTTTTTGAGACAGTCTCTCTGCTTCTCATCCTCTTTCCTCAGCCTCATAAGTACAGGTATTGCAGGTATGTGCCATTCTGCTCAGTTTAAGTTCATATTCTAATGAATAAAATCTTAGGATGTAAACAATAGATAAGAATTATAATCTTCATATTTGTTTCTATATCATAGATTTTTTTAAGAAACCTGGTATTGTTGCTTTATTACCCCCCCCCCAAATCATTCTGTTATTTAAGGGTAATGACTTTTTGTTTTGTTTTATTTTGTTTTTGAGACAAACTCGCTTTATAGCCCTGGATGGCCTGGAACTCACCACATAGATTAGAATGATCTCGAACTCACAGAACTCCACCCCCCTCTGCTGGCGTTAAAGGCCTGAGTCAGCACACCAGGAAAGCATTAAGTTAAAAACAACAATCGAAAACAACCACGGGTTTTGAACTTGTTGGTGCATACCTATAATTCCAGCATTTGGAAGGCTGAGGCAGGAGCATGACAAGTTGGAGGTCAGCCTGGGTAACATAGTGAGACCTTGTTTCAAAAACAAAAACAATACCAAAAATCAAATGCACTGGATATTCATCAGATATCTGGCGGGGATGGCCTTCAAAAGTTACTATCTGGGTTTTGATCCTACTGCATGTACTGGCTTTGTGGGAGCCTAGGCTGTTTAGATGTTCACCTTATTAGACCTGGAAGGAGGTGGGAGGTCTTTGGACTCCCCACAGGGCAGGGAACCCTGTCTGCTCTTTGGGCTGATGAGAGAGGGGGAGTTGATTGGGGGAGGGGGAGGGATATGGGAGGCGGTGGCGGGGGAAGAGACAGAAATCTTTAATAAATAATTTTTAAAAAAAGTTACTATCTGTGAAGAAATCAGATTCACAATTCGTATATTTTAAATAAGTTCCTACAAAGACCAACCAAGTAGGCTGCTTACTAAACTCTGGGACAGTGTTCAGAAAAGAGAGCTTTAGGACCAAGTACAAATGCTTGCCAGTCCCCATGGGATCAAGGCAGGCCCTCAGAAGCCAGTCAGTGGTGAGGAAGGCTTTGGGTCTTATTAGCAAGTGAGCAGAATTGACTCAGCAGTCAACATCCCACTAACAACACAGCCAAGGCTGAAGACGACCTGGTATAATGGGGATAGGACAGACTGCTGGACCTTGGTCCAGACAACGACCTGGTAACAGAACAAACTTCCAGAGCACTGTGGGCTGACCAGCTGGAAGGGGACATGCTGTGGTCTTAGCTCCCCTCAGAAGGAGCAGTGAGTACCATCTGCCTCCATGATGCCCTTTGCTTCTGCCCCTACTTTCCCCTCCCCAGCCTCCTCCACCCTCTTTGAACAGTTTTCATTCTGATCTCCCTGGGAGGGGGCATCTCTAACAGTGGTGTGGATTTTTCTTGGCTTCTGGTTTTTCACAGCCCAGGCTTGTGCAACCATGGCACTTGCTTCCTGGCAGGATAAGGCTGAGCAAAGAAACCACCTAAAGGGATATGACTGAGAGGTGATATACAAAGTTTCAGGGATGGCTTCTGCCAGGGAATAATGAATGCCATTGTCACTTCCAGTGTGGCTCAGTGTGCTGGCCTGGCCTCTGGCGTGCTCCCCCACTGACACGGACTTCCCACTGTGTACCTCAGTCAAGGCCCCAGAGAAGCGGAAGGGCCAGGGCAGGAAAGAAACCCAAGTCTAATTTCCCCAGGATGAGCCCCTGCCATTGTTTCAGGCCTCGTGACCTGCTCTTAGGGCCTGTGCTGGGTGGGTTACTCCAGGAGGGGCAGGCCTTGTGACTTGCTCTTCAGGGCCTGTACTGGGTGGGTTACTCCAGGAGGGGCAGGCCTTGTGACCTGCTCTTCAGGGCCTGTACTGGGTGGGTTACTCCAGGAGGGGCAGGCCTTGTGACCTGCTCTTAGGGCCTGTGCTGGGTGGGTTACTCCAGGAGGGGCAGGCCTTGTGACCTGCTCTTCAGGGCCTGTGCTGGGTGGGTTACTCCAGGAGGGGCAGGCCTTGTGACCTGCTCTTCAGGGCCTGTGCTGGGAAGGGAAGCTGCAGCACCTCTCTGTGCAGTCACGTGCATTGTCTCTCACAGTGCCTAGGATCTCTAGGGAGGCTTCTTGCTCATCAGGGGCCTCCCAGGACTCCACCATGTCCATTTTAAATCCAGAGTCCTGGGGTGGCCTTCAGGACCTCTACCACCTGGCTCTCTGGCTCTTGTAAATAACCTCCTGACTGGTGGTCTCTGTACTTTGGGGCTGGGGTGCTTCTCAATGGGAACATTTTCCTACCCCATCCCACTCCTGCTCAGCCAAGCTCCTCCTTCAGTCTCTTCATTCTGGGTATCCAGACTTGGTACACTCAATCTCTCAAGCCTGGGGGTTCAACTTGCCTTGCTGCTGCCTATGGTAATGAGAGAGAGCCCTCGCTCCAGACAGCAGCTCCCTGGGAGGAGAGGAGCAGGTGAGGGGTACAGGACAGGAACATGATCTCAGACTTACCTGGTCGAATAGCTGGTGCTGAGCAAGGTACCCAACATCCTTTGCCTGAGCCAGAGGAGGAAAGCAGAGATGACTGTAGGTTAGTTTGTGCTGGGTACCTCTTGATGGCCCTATTGCTTAGTTGGTTGCTGAGCCCCACCGGCCACTGTCCTGTGGAGCCTCCTTCCCCAACCCAGGGCCTGATGTGATCAATGATCTCCCAGGCAGGACAGAGGTGAAGGGCAGAAGACTTAGAGCCAGGGGTGCAGCTCTGCCCTTTCGGAATGAGCTACCAGCCCCTGCAGCTTCTCCTTTAAGCGGACAATGCAGGTGTAGCAGGCACACAGCCAAGGGCTGCTGCTTTTTATTAGAAGCTGTTTTAAAAATCATGGTGAGATATACATGATATAAATTTTGCCTTTAAGTTCAGTTGCACCGTCCACCTGTTAAATAGTAACTCCCATATACCTCACTCAGGATGTATTTGTGGATGAACTCGTTGACGGTCATGAGGGTCTGGGACCAATCTTCATCTGTGTACCTTGAACCCACTTCCACAGGGACAGTGCGGCAGCCAGCAACCTCCTGGATGTACTGAAGACTACAAGAGTGGACATTGGAACTGTCAGCACAGGTGTCAGCAGGCGTCATTGCTACAGACATCTAGGAATGGATTTCTTTGGCTCTCTCATGCTCACAAAACCTCATGAGGCGGAGACCACTGTTGTCCTCGCTCTCCTGACAGAGGTTGCACCATAGAGAGGTGAAGCTACTTGTCCAAGCCCACACAGCCCAACCCTCAGGTTCAACCTCGGCCACATACATTGTATGCTGACAACTTCTGGTGTCCAGGATCCTGCTATCTCTTCACTCTTCTCACCCTGTCACCAAGCTGAGAAACCTTGTGACAAACGGAAGGCTGTATGGGTGTGTGTGTGTGTGTGTGTGTGTGTGAAGTGCTGGCTCTGAACTCTGAAAGTGTGGGGTGAGGCAGGGATCCTTCAGTGAATTTCTTGACCTTCCTGAGTCCCTGCACCACAACTGTTAAAGGAGGTGATGCCAGCCTGCCTCATTTGGAGCATGGCTGCTATGCTGTGGCTCCTACAGACTCCTCACTGGAGTCTCAGGCCACTTCCTCCACAAACTCAACCCACTCCCTTGAGCTACAGCTCTCTTGCAGAGCGAGTGTCCAGGGTACTGCCTACATGACCCCTGTGGATGCTGAAATCTCAGGACTCTCCAGTCCTCATTGGAAACATCCCAGTGTTTGTGAATGAACTCTACGCTAACACCTAACATTTCTGAGCCCACAACTTGGGTTGTAGCAAGAGACTGCTTGTTCATTTCTTGACTTCCCTGACTCAAAATAATCACTCAGAAACTATATTATTTGCAATACTGTTTGGCCAATAGCTTAAGCATATTTATGGTTATCTCTTACATCTTAAACTAACCCATCTCCATTAATCTGTATATCACCACATGGCTGTGGCTTACCAGGTAAAGTTCCCTCCTGTGTCTGTATTTGGTGGGGCTATATGGCTTCTCCCGATACCACCTTCTTTCTCCCAGCATTCAGTTTAGTTTTCCCTGCCTAGCTCTATTCTGCCCTGTGCAGGCCCAAAACAGTTTCTTTATTAACCAATGGTATTCACAGCATACAGAGGGGAATCCCACATCACTGGGTACTCTCAAGGATGGGCTCAGGGTAAACACATGTCAGCGAGCAGCTTAGACCCCTGGAGCTCAGGATACCTCACTTACAGTTTTAGTTAATTTTGAAAAATTCATTACTTCATGTGTGGGAGGCAAGCATGCCACTGTGGCACAGGTGGAAGTCAGAAGACAACTTTGGGGTTCTCTCCTTCTACCTGTGTGGGTCCCAGGGCTTGAATTCAAGGCCACTAGGCTTTTACAGCCATCCTGCCAGTCCCAGAATATCCCACTTTATAGTCTTCATTAATCCTCTGCAATCAATCGAGGGGCTTTTGAAGGGTGATCCGGGGCAGTGACTTATGAGTGGCCAGAAGACGCCTTCAGGGAATCCTGGGGACACTTAGATAGGAGGAAGGACCTCAGCTCTCTACAGTGGCCACTCACCTCCACTTCTTCATGCATGGCCAGTGGTCAGCCACACCTTCCAAGATCACAGGCCTCCCAGGGACTAGAAAGTGCTTCCTGAAGTACTGCAGAGTTGGACAGCGAAGCCTGGGCACTGCCCGCTCTAACACCACATCGGGAGCTGAGTTGGCATCACACCTCGTCTTCTGTTTAGAATTCAAACAAAGCAAGATTGGGCAACTGTCTCTGGAAGCTGTATCACTGGCAGGATGTCTTTGGTGTCGTTATAAACAGCAGACATTTCTTTTTTGTTTTGATCCGTGTGGGTTTGTGTGTGCACATGTGTGTGGCAGGGGACAACCTCAGGTGTTACTCTTTCTCCTGCACTATCTACCTTATTGAGATGGGGTTTTCTCCCTGGCCTGGGGCTCACTGATTCAGCTAGGCTGGCTGGCTGGCAAGCCCCTGGGGTCCACCCATCTCAACCTCCACAGCTCTGGGATGACAAATACAAGCCACCATGCCAAGTTGATCCCAAGTGGTTCTAGGGATCAAACTCCAGTGCTCCTATATGTGTGGGAAGCTTGACTGAGATATCTCCCCAGTCCCATGCTTTGTTTTATTTTTGAGATGGGATCTCAATAGCCCTGGCAAGCTTCAAACCCACGGACATCACCTGCCGCTACCTCCCAAGTGCGAGGGGTAGAGACTTGCACCACTACACTGAGCTTGTTTTGTGCTTTTGAGACACGGTCTCACTAGGAAGCCCAGCATGACCTTGAACCCAGAATCCTCTTGCCTCAAATTCCAGAGTGCCTACCACACCCAGCAGTAGATAACATTTCTAAGGTCATTTGCTTTCACCAGCTCAAGGTCCCTTTTTTCTTAGCCAACTCATAGTCTTAGAGCATGCTGGCGGCAGTAGTCCTGAAGAGTGAGTAGCTCTGCCTTTGCATCCAAGCACTACCCTAGGAATTTCCACACTGCCACCCAATGGCTGCACCATACCTTCCTTATCCATTTCCCTCAGGAAAGCTAAGTGGGTCATTTACTATTCCTGGTGGTGACAACCACATCCACGTGTGGTACCCAGGACCACTGGCTGGCCTGAACTGGCCATTTCTTTTGTACTGTCACCACGCTCAGCACAGGCCTTCGTACAGCCTCTCACAGCAACAGAAGATTCTTCTACAGCCTCTCAGGACTGTAGCTCTGGGGGTGGAGATGGGGATATTCTGTGTACATGTTCAGCAGGTTCATCCAGCACTGTCGGTGCTCTCTTCCAGTAAGGGACTGAGGCACAGAGACCCTGTCTGATCAGACGGGGTGGAGCATGGGAACTGAGCTCAGACAGGCTGACTTAAGGCCTGTACTCCCTCCTCTGTGGCTATGCATCCCATACCCCACCCCAAAGAGGATCACTTTGGGCAGGACTTGGGACACACTTGGTGGGAAGATGGGGGGATGCCCTTAGGTCAGAGGGGACACGTTTGTCTCTTGAATTGCAGACTGCCCTGCTCTCCGAAGACTAAAGCAGCACACTACCCCACAGCCCCGCAGATGGTACGGGCATCACATAAGCACTGGCGGCTGGCTGGCAGTCCCCGAGGCTATGTGCATCTCTCTTAATTTGTAACTTATTGTTATTATTGATTCACTTCATGGTTTTTGTTTGTTTTGTTTTTTTTGTTTGTTTGTCTGTTTTTTTCTTCACTGTAGACCTTGCTGACTGCAAACTGTCCATCCTGTGCCTCTCCCTCCCAGGCGATCAGATTACAGATGTGTGCCACCATGCCTAGCTTCTCTTCACTGGGTAAACAAAGGCCAGGCCCATTTCATTAATGGCTCTATGTCCTCATGAATGGTTGGCTGTCCAGGCTTTAGCTTTTCCCTACCAACCTCTCCAAGTCCTCAGGTGAAAGGTTCAGCCCTGGCTCTCTTCCTGGCTTGGGGCTCTCATTCCACTGTGGGCACACTCATGTGTTGACATCCGTCATATCTGTCTTATACGTAAATCACACTCAACAGGAAATTCTAAAACTGCAGGAAAGCACTGAGAAACCCATGGGAAACAGTCCAGAATTCCATGGCTGGTATCCAGCACAGCCCTGACAATTTATAGAAGTAGACACCGAAGCCCAAAGGAGATGGTTTCTGGCTTACCCAGCAGAAGCCGGGTGAAGTCTGTAAACCATGCTCCAGGTCTGGAAGGAACTCTAGGATACTTATTCAGCAGGCCAACCTCCATGCGGACTGGAGGGGCAGAACACACCTCAGTTGGCTGGCTGAAGTATCTTTCCAGACTAGGTGAGAAAACATGCTGGAAGCAATCTCCCGGAGGCTGCAGCAGCCTAGCTCTGCCTCGTTCCTGTGAGCTGCCTCTCAGAGTAACGAAGCTGCCACCTCCCCTCTTAAAAGGCACTGCCTTTGCAGAGACTTATGGGTCCAGCTGTTCATTCCCCAAATCAACACAACACCCTTTTTAGCAGAGAGGCTGCCTGTGAGAGGTTGTACCCAGGGAGAGGATTGGATTCTTCAAGAAGATGGGTTGGTCTGCTGAATGGTTCAGCATGGACAATGACTGACTACCCATACATACCTTGGTAACAGGCTCGTCCTGGTGGGGGCCACAGGCAGGCTGCTTTCTTGGGAGCAGGTGTGTCTGGAGGACGGTGACAACTTTGAGAAGGATGTCTCCAAGGATGGCTGCCCCCATCAACAGGCCCATGTCACACACCCGCAATGCTTCAGCCACTGCAGTGGCCTTCTGTGGAGCCCGGCACAGGCACAGGGCCTTCAGGAGGCAGCCGAAGGAGTACACCCGGCGCCATTCCTTGTCCACATCTTGCCAGGGCCCAGTGTTGAGCTTCTCCCAGGAGTAGTCCAGGATGACCTCGCTGGCCTGCAGGCACTCCTGCCAATGTCCTGCATAGAACAACCCCACAGCTTGCTGTAGCAGCATGGTCAGGCTCCTGCCCACCTTCTCACTGAGCTCCAGCTTCAGCTCCTCCTCTGTGTCAGGCAGGAGTACCCTGAGGTCCTTCCAGAGGGTACTAGGCCCTACCAAGGGCTCGGTAGGACCCTTAGTGTCCTCTGACATGGTCAGCACCTGAGAGGAACAAGACAGGAATCAAAGACCACACACAACCCTTATGGCCCATACCAGAGCTTTTAAACAAAGTCTTTGCTGCTTGCTGGCTGCCTCACTGGTGCGGGGCCGTCTTTTGGGGGTCTCTGCTCTACTTTCAGGGCCTTGCACATTGCCTGGCTCTCAGTGCACACTCAACAGATGTCTGTTCAGGGAGAGATGTGTGCTGTCCTCATCTGGAATGACCCCAACACTCCTTCTCTCTTGATGTGTGGTTTACCTCTCCAACTCTGGGCTGTGGCACATCCCCACGTTGGTTTCCCTAAAGCCTAAAGCTAAGTCTCAATACAGATACAGAAGGAAGCGCTCTGTTTAAGTGTTCCCAAAGAACTGTGTGTTGAAGGTAGTGGAGACATGCCCATAAAGTTGGACACATTTAGACCCCAGCCTTGTTTCTTGGTCCATAAAGTAAAGAGGCAACCTCTGCCTCATGCCCCCACGATGATGCATTGAGCTGCCACAGGTCCAAAGTAACACGGCCATGCAGCCCTGGATTGAAACCTCTAAAATTGTGAGCTCACACAAATCTTTTTAATTTATCCTAGGGATCTGTTACAGAAACGGAAAGCTAACAAACACACAACAACCCAAGCAGAAAGAAAATAGCACTGGCAGCTTGGTGGCTTAGCCTGAGTGTCATGTGTACATGACAGTCACTGTGCTAACAACAACAGGAGCTGCAGCTCACAGACAACCATGGCTACCTGCCCTTCTCTCTGTTCTTAGCACTATCCCAACAGCTCTGTCATCTGCTACGGGTTAGATGTGATTTATCCCTAAACTTTCATAGGCTTGGAATTTGGTCCTCAATAGGGGACATTTAAGAGATGGGCCCAGAAAGAGGTGATTAGGTCATTAAGGGTACCACTGTGGGAGGGTATCAATACCGACCTTACAAGAGTGGGCTAGTTTCTCTGAGGGTGGTTAAGGGTGGTTGGTATAAAGTGAGGGTGCCCTCATCTAGCTTCTTGGCATGTGTCAGTGCCCCCTCCCACTTCTCTACCTAATGTGTGATACAGCTTGGTGGCCGGTGGCCCTCATCAGATGTCTGTAGCCAGCTGTTGGGACTCTGCAGCTGTCAGAATTGTGAGCCAAGGAAACTTCTCTTCATACGTCTCCCAACACGTGTCAGACAATCTGTTCCAGCCACCTCAGATAGAACAGGACATCCTCTGCTTCCCATCATGTTGAGTGATGAGGAACACTGGGTTTCTGGCAGAGATGTAGAAGGTCAAATATGAAACATCAGGCTTTGCTGTCCACATGGTCACAGTTGACACTACTCTGCTATTCACGAACCAGAATAAACAAATAGGGGTGGGTGTGTTCCAATAAAGCTTTATTTATAAAAACAGAGGGTACCAAATGGTAGTCTACTAACTCCTACTCTTTGTGTACTGGAGTTTACCTCTGGGTTTCATCCCTGGCAAGGGATAAAAGAAAAGAATGAAAAGGAAAAGATTCCTTCCCCCCACCCCATTTTGAGACAGAGTCTCTTTGTGTAGTCCTGGCTGTTGTGGAACTATGTAGCCTAAGCTGACCAGTTCAGAGATCCACGTGTCTCTGCCTGTGCCACCATCGACAGGTAGAAAAGATACCCTTTATCTTCTTCCTGGCTACTGTGACAGAAGCAAGTGCTACTGGAATATGTGCAGTGACTGATGTCTGGTCATAGACACCTCCCATAGGTACCCTAGAAGGTGGAAGTGGAATGTTCTCAGGCTCTAGGGAATAAAAGTCCCAGGGAGCAGGAAGCTGCCATATGGAAAAGGGAATTGTGGGAAGACCACTGAGCTAGCCTGGATGGTCCACATGGAAAAGGCATGAGCAAAATATAAGCATATTTAGCTTACAAATTAGTCTGCGCTGACGGACAGATAACAGTCCCTACAGATGTTCATATCCTACCTTCAAATGGTGATTATGTCACCTAATAGAGCAAAAGGGCCTCTGCAGGTGTGACAGAATGGGACCTGAGATGGAAGATTACCCTGGATTATCTGGATGGGCTCCTGTATTTTATTATAAGGATTGCTTTGGGCTAAGGTCAGAGTTGGAAGTCACGTGGCTTCAGAAGAATGGTCAAAGAAAGGCGAAGTGGCAGGCTTTGGTGACTAGTTAATGGACCACAAGCTGAGAGGAATTCAGAGCAACTTTCAGAAGCTGAGAAAAATCAAAGAAATTGATTCTGTCCTGAGGCTTTTTTGAAAAGAAGGCAGCCCCACTGAGCCCTTGATTTCAGTCCAGCAAGATTTTCAGTCCACAGATCTGCAAGGGCAGCAAGCCTGCTGCCTACAGCCAGTGCTTATGGTAGCCTACTTCAGCAGCACGAGAAAAAGAAACCAGTGGGGCTGGGAAGTGACACACCATTAGTGACTCTACTGACCACTCAGCTAGTATGTGTTGGCTCATGCCACCATGTTGGCCACGGGCAAAGAGATGAAGTGAGCCTATAGCTAACAGAGAATGAGGAGCAAGAGACTCCATGTCCAGTAGCTGCCTGTCCCCATATGGAATCCGGACAACAGAAACTGGGGGGCATAGGCCCCTGTCCAGTTGAGTCTTTGCACCGGACCATAGCCTTATAAGGGTTTCTGACAGAGGGCCTGGCCATGCCAATGTACACACACCCACTCAGAACAACAGTCCTAAATGTGCATTGTTTAAGCCACTGAATTTACAATCTGCCAAGCAATGTCACACCTCTCACTCGCTATCTTAACTTCAGGGACACCTGGGGTTCCTATTGTGCCCAATAAGGGAATTCCTGTTGCTTAAGCTGAGTTCCACAGACTGGGTAATTTGGAAGGAATAAAAGAAAAACCAAAAAAAAAAAAAAAAAAAAAGTTTAACTAGCTCCTGGTTCTGAACACTGAGAAGTCCAAGGGTACCTTCCAAGGACCTTCTTTTTAGCATGGGCTTTGTAGGCTTTGAACCCAGCTGTTGGCCACAGAACCCGTGACTGTACAGATGAGGGAACTGAGTCACACTTTCAAGTGATGTGGTTTTTTTTTTTTTAAAAAAAAAAAAAAAGCTTTATTTACTCATTAAGTACAGTGTTCTGCCTGCATGTCTGCCTGGCCAGAAAAGGGCACCAGATCTCACCATAGATGGTTGTGAGGCACCATGGGATTGCTGGGAATTGAACTCAAGACCTCTGAAAGATATAATACTTGAGGTTCTAGCTAGAGCAATAAGACAACAAAAGGAGATCAACAAAATACAAATTGGAAAAGAAGTCAAACTTTCACTATTTGCTGATGATATGATAGTTTACATAAGTGACCCCAAAAATTCTACCAAGGAACTTCTACAACTCATAAACACTTTCAGTAATGCAGCAGGATACAAGATTAACTAAAAAAAAAATCAGTAGCCCTCCTTTACACAGATGATAAAGGGGCTGAGAAAGAAATCAGAAAAACATAAAACATCACCCTTCACAATAGCCATAAATAGCATAAAATATCCAGAGTAACTCTAACCAAACAAGTGGAAGACCTATATAACAAGAACTTTAAATCTTTGAAGAAAGAAATTGAAGAAGACACCAAAAAATGGAAAGATCTCCTCCCATGTTCTTGGGTAGGCAGAATTAACATAGTAAAAATGGCAATCTTACCAAAAGCAATCTACAGATTCAATGCAATGCCCATCAAAATTCCAGCAAAATTCTTCACAGACCTTAAAAGAACAGTAGTCAACTTCATATGGAAAAGCAAAAAACCAAGGATAGTCAAACAATCCTGTACAATAAAGGAACTTCTGGAGGCACCACCATCTCTGACTTCAATCTCTACTATAGAGCCACAGTACTAAAAACAGCCTGGTATTGGCATAAGAACAGACAGGAGGACCAAGGGAACTGAATCAAAGACCCAGATATTAATCCACACACTTACAAACACCTGATTTTTGACAAAGAAGCAAAAAATAAAATAAAATGTAAAAAGAAAGCATATTCAACAAATGCTGCTGGCATAACTAGATATCAACATGTAGAAGAATAAAAATAGATCCATATCTATCACCAAGCATAAAACTCAAGTCCAAATGGTTCAAAGACCTCAACATAAAGCCAGCCACACTGAACCTCAAAGAAGAGAAAGCAGGAAGTACACTTGAACACATTGGCACAGGAGACCACTTCCTAAATATAATATAAATATACTGTCAGCAGCACAGACACTGAGAAAAACAATTAATAAATCGGACCTCCTGAAACTGAGAAGCTTCTGTAAAGTAAAGGACATGGTCAACAAGACAAAATGACAGCCTACAGAATGGGAAAAGATCTTCACCAACCCCACATCAGATAGAGGTCTGATCTCCAAAATATACAAAGAACTCAAGAAACTGCTCATCAAAAGAACAAATAATCCAATAAAATAAATGGGGTACAGACCTAAACAGAGAACTCTCAATAGAGGAATCTAAAATGGTTGAAATGCTCAACATCCTTAGCCATTAGAGAAATGCAAATCAAAACAACTCTAAGATTCCATCCTATACCTGTAAGAATGGCCAAGATCAAATACATTGATGATAACTTACGCTGGAGAAGTTGTGGGGTAAAGGGAACACTTCTGCATTGCTGGTGGGAATACAAGCTGGTACAGCCCCTTTGGATATTAGTATGGCGATTTCTCAGAAAATTAGAAAACAACCTTCCTCAAGACCTAGTGGGTAAATACCCAAAGGATGCTCAGGCATACCACAAGGACATGTGCTCAACTATGTTCATAGCAGCATTGTTTGTCATAGCCAGAACCTGAAAACAACCTAAATGCCCCTTGACCAAAGAACGGATAAGGAACATGTGGTACATTTATATAATGGAGTACTACACAGCAGAAAAAAGTAATGATATCTTGAAAATTGTGGGCAAATGGATAGATCTAGAAAACATCATATTGAGTGAAGTAACCCAGATTCAGAAAGACAAATATCATATGTACTCACTCATAAGTGGCTTTTAGACATAAAGTAAAGAAAAACCAGCCTACAATTCACTATCCCAGAGAACCTAGACAACAATGAGGACCCTAAGAGAGATACATAGATGTAACCTACATGGTAAGTAGAAAAGGACAAGAGCTCCTGAGTAAATAGGGAGCATGGGGATCATGGAAGAGAGTAGAAGGGGAGGGGAGAGGAAGGGAGGGGAGGGGAGAAAAATATATCACTCGATAAAAACAATTTTTTAAAAAGGGCTTTGAAAGAGCAGCCAGTGCTCTTAACTTCTGAGCCATCTCTGCAGCCCACTTCTTCACTCTTAATTCCAGGGACTAACAATATTTCACTCCACAGCCCATAGGTAGCATCTTGGTCATCAGAAATGCCTTCCCCTCCTGGCCCCAGCCCCTGATCCCACTAAGGAAAGACACAGTCCTCCAAATGCTGGATGACTTACCTACTTTACCTGGCAGAGGCATACCACCCCACCCTGGGCCCCAGGACCCCACAGAATTATTCTCCTGACCCCGATAGTCACTAAACTAGAAAAACTTCCTGTCCTGGACACACCTCTCCTGTCTTAAAAAGCCTGCCTGTCATACAAAACAGTCCCAGCTGGACCCATAACACTACAACTCTAAAGCACGATTAACAAACATTCACAAAGAGAAAGTGGGGTTCAACCCCAGTCCAGGAATCTCAGGATGAGACTGAGAAAGAATGGTCTCCTCCCATTTTATAATCCTCTCTAGGGCTGAGATTAAAGGCGTGAACCACTGGGATTAAAGGCATGCACTACCTGGTTTCCATGGCGACTAGTGTGGCTACTGGGATTAAGGGTGTGTGTTACCATTCCTTGGCCTGTATGGCTGACCAGTGACCAGTGGTGTTGTTTAATTCTCTGTGCTTCAGGCAAGTTTATTTATTAAAATACAAATTAAATGCTGTAGAACTTTAAGACAATTCTGAAGCCATTTCTGACAACTCTCAGTACTTCCCCTCCTCCCCTGGGAACCAAGGACATAACAGCTATGCATGCATGTACGGAGATACTGGGAACTTTCCATCTCCCTGAATAGGGGCAAGATAACCCTTAGGTGTTGACTCAGTTACTGATGTTTTGACTTAGTCCCTGGGAAGAGGCAAAGTGACCCTCAGAAGTTTCCCTTTACCTCATCTGATCTGGCCACCACTCTCCAGCCAATTATTGGTAATAGCCTTTTTGAACAAGCCAATCATAATAAAGAATAACCCGCAGACACCCCCTTCCTTCTGTGGTTTTTCTCTTTAAAAATAGCCTGTACCAGACATTCAGGGTCTTCTAGCCTCCCTACTGCTGGAAGACCCTGTCATGACAGAATTAATAAAATCCTCATGCTTTTACATCAGCTGTGATGAGAGATGGTCTCTTGGGGTGACTCCTCCTCCTAGGTGATTGGACACTAGGGTCCAACATTGCTACTACATAACTCATTAGGCTCCCTTCCACCCCAGAACTGACCCCAACACTCACTTTCTTCCAATCTGTGCTAGTCAGGGTTTTCAGGAGAAACAGAATGGGCAGAATGAATGTATATGGGATTTATTAGAGTGACTTACAGCCTGGGGTCTGGCTAGTCCAACAATGACTGTCTGCCAACAGAAAGATGGGGGGGGGGAACAAGGGGGACTTATTAGGATGACTTACAGGCTGTGGTCCTGATAGTTCAATAACGGGGGGGCTATGAACGGAAAATCCAAGAATCCAGTAGTTGTTCAATCCATAGGACTGGATGACTCAATTGGTCTTCAGTATCTGCAAGAATCCCAAAGAAGTAGGCTCTAATGCCAGTGAAGAAATGAGGAAGCAAAAGCTTCCTCATTCCTTTTCCTTACGAAGGCTTCCAGTAGAAGGTGTGGCCCAGATTAGACCTGGATTAAAGGTGTGGTTTCCCATCTCAAAGATCCAGATTACAAGTAGGTCTTCTCACTTCAAATTAAGCAGAAATCCTTCACAGGTGTGCCCGCCATTTTGGGATTTTAGTTAATTCCAGATGTAGTCAAGTTGACAACCAAGAACAGCCATCACACTGGGGAAAACAAAATTTTGACCTCAAATGGTATCTTAGTTACGGTTTCTATTGTAGTGAAGAGACACTATGACCATAGCAATTCTTACAAAATAAAACAAAAACCATTTAATTGGGGAAACCTTACCGTTTCAGAGGTTTAGTCCATTGTCATCATAGTGGGACGCATGGTGGTGAGAAGGAACACATGGTACTGGAGAGATATCTGACCATCTGTGTTGGTTTGAATAAGATTAGCCCACGTAGGCTCATATATTTGAAAGCTTAAGGAGTGGCATTAGGAGGTGTGGCCTTCTTGGGATCAGCAGGCAGAAGGAAGCACTGGGCTTTTGGGGCATTTGAGACCCCACATCCCACTCCCAGTGACACACTTCCTCCAACAAGGTCACACCTACTCCAACAAGGCTATACCTCCTAATGCCGTTCCCTGTACATTCAAATACATGAGCCTATGAGGACCAATGTTATTCAAACCATCACAGGTGATTATAGCTAATGGCAAGGACTTCTCTCCAAAGGCCACCCTCCACCTGGAGGTGAAGGCTGTTGACATCTTTGTCCTCATTCATACCGTGGATCCATGAGGAGTCTTGTGTTCTCTCTCCTCAGAAAAATCAAGCCAGGTGAACCCCAACCAAACCTTTGGACCTCAAGGTTCCCTTTCTTAAAATGCTTGCCCTCATAAACCGTAGCCATGAAAATGCTCTCTAAAATTCTGCTTGGAAGAGACTGTTGGATATGCCTGAGGATAAGGCAAGTTACATAACTGGGCATAGGCTTAACCAAAATCCATTTAACCAATCACTCCGTGTCTAAATCCTGTCTTTGGGCCTTGCCTGTACAAACTGTGGGTAGAGCTGACTGTGTGGGCCTCCATCCTAACTGCAGTAGGCTAATCTCCAACTCAAAAGTCTCTGATGATGCCTATGTTACATGCCCCAAGGAAGACCTCTGATCTAGCTACCCCTCAATTACCCCATGTGCTAAACTGTATACTTAGTTCCTGATCTTATAGTCATCCCTGGGAATGAAATAAATGACCACTCCTATCTAAACCAAAAGGGATTCCATATCATTTCTAGTCCTATTGGGGGTAACCATGGCAGGGGTTGTGACCCTGTGGGGAATGACCACTGGACTCCAACAAGTACAACATAGCCAACTTGCTCAACAAATCAAGGCTGATCTTACACTGGTACAAGAGAATTTAAAAACTCCAGACTTAGTTGGACCCAGAAGTCATGATGCTACAAAACAGAGTGGGATCCGATCTCATTATGGTAGAGAAAGGGGAAATCTGTGCTATGTTAGGGGAAGAATGTTGCTTCTACATAAATTTATCAGATGTCTAAGGAAGAATGCCAGACAGCTAAAACAAAGAACAGATTCATGAGTCAGATGCCCACATCAAGCTGGGCAGGCTTCTGGGCAGGCTTCTGGGGTACTTGGAGAACACGGAGAACCCCCTGCATTGGGCCCCACATCCTGACAGTTTCAGCTCTAATCTTCTGTCCTTTGTCCTCTCTAATCTGTTGTAGCAAAGAGCAGAAGCCCTCACCTCCTCAGTTACTGCTCCACTCTTCTTTACCAAAGCTGCTACCTCAGAGCCCTGGAACCAGATGAGCCCAAAGAGCCAATACATGGGCTTGAGGAACATATACCTAAAGTCAAAAGACCCTGAAAACCACCACATTTTCTCCCTACCCCTTACAATGACCCACCTCAGCATGAAGCAGTAAAAAAAGAGATGATGCCCCTGGACCGCACATCAGGGCTTAGAATGATAAAATGCCTTGGTTGTAAAACAGGATTCCACAGGATGCAACCTGACTCAGCTGTTGTGTCAGGATCTCTAGAGCAGTTGCCCTCAACTTTCCTAAAGCTGCGAACCTTTAATAGAGTTCCTTATGCTGTGGTGACCCCCAACCATGAAATTATGTTCATTGCTACTTTATAACTGTAATTTTGCTATTGTTATGAAGTGCAATGTTACTATTTGATATGTAAGATATCTATCTGTGACCCTTGTGAAAGGGTAGTTCAACCCCCAAATCAGTTACAACCCACAGGCTGAGAATTGCTGTTCTAGAGGAACGGAACTGATAAAATGACATGTGTGTGTATGTGTGATTTATTGATTTATTAGAGTGTGGCTTACAGGCTGTGATCCAGCTAGTCCAACAATGACTGTCTACCAACGGAAAGTCTGATAATCCAGTAATTGTTCAGTCCCATGAGGCTAGATGTATGTCTTAGCTGGTCTTCAGTAATGCTGGAATTCTGAAGAAATAGGCTCTAGTGCCAGTGAAAGAATAGAACTGACATCAAAAGTAAGGGCAAGCGAGCGAAGAGCAAAAGCTTCCTTCTTCCACGTCCTTTATATGGGCCGCCGGCTGGTGTGGTCCGGATTAAAGATGGTCTTTCCACTTGAAATGCTTTAATTAAGAAAACCCTCAGAAGTACACCCAGGCTCTTGGGGTTGAATTAATACCAGATGTGGCTGAGCTGATAACCAAGAACAGTCATCACAACCCAGACAGGAATGTTCCAGAGAGAGCCTGTCTCCCAAGATAATCTTGCTTGAAACAAGAGAATTCCAGGAAATAGGGACCGAAACCCACATGGCCTACAACTGCAACAATTTCTTCATTCCTAAGCCCAGCACCCCAGCATTTTCTCTTACAGGCACCCCCTTTCTCATGGCAGATTGTCTGTCCTTCACTGTCTGAAATAAACACTCCGGTCTGTTGACATCAGATGCTGGGTTCTCTCTCCTTGTCTCTTTATGCTGCCTCAGAAGTTTACAATTTCTATACCGCCACTTTCAAAGGCCTCCAAGAGAAGGACCTCGTGCTGCAGACTATGTGAAAGAGCATTGTGGGAGACAGCCTTACATTGGCTGTAGTAAATCATCCTCATGATCACATGAGCTAGCCCTAGTAATTAAAAGCAATTTAAATGACACCTATTAATTTGTGTGTGTGTGTGTGTGTGTGTGTGTGTGTGTGCTCATGCACACACATGTGCTATGGTGAACTTGTACCATGGTGTATGTGTGGAGACCAGGGGATAACTTCAGGACTGGTTTTCTCCTTCTACCATGTGGGGCCTGGGAGTTGAGCTCAAGTTATCAAGCCTGCAGCAAGTGTGTTCCCTCGCTGAGCCCCACCTTAGGAATGCTGTTTGTTGAAATGCAGTCATCAGAGATGTCTAAAACAGCTGACGTTAACAGTCTTCCAGATGTGGGCATTTCAGTTAGGTAAGTTTCTGTCCCGTAATAGCTGTCAGTGGCTACTTTAAGTGGCTTCTGACAGGTCTACTGATGGATGTTAGACACCAGTTGCCCACGGGGTCTTATGTTGGCAGTGTGGGGAAATTCCATGGTGAGTGGAATGTTGGCCTCAGCGGGCTCATGGCTGCCTCCACAGCCTTTCCCGGATCCTAGTTGGCCCTTTTAAACAGTCACTGTCCTTGTATTACACAACAGACATCCAGCCACAGAGTAAAAACAACAGACCGCCATGCTCCTGTGTTCTCAGTCTGCCTGTTTAGTCTGCCTTTACGAGAGCACTGTATCAACCAATGGTACTTGTGCTGGGTTTCCCGCGTAAACAACTTTTATAACCAAAGCGAATGCACAGCTATAATCTTTTTTTTTTTTTTTTTTTTTTGGTTTTTCGAGACAGGGTTTCTCTGTAGCTTTGGAGCCTGTCCTGGAACTAGCTCTGTAGACCAGGCTGGTCTCGAACTCACAGAGATCCGCCTGCCTCTGCCTCTGGGATTAAAGGCGTGCACCACCATCGCCCGGCCACAGCTATAATCTTAACTCGTGTACTCCTCCATGTATCTGACCCAGACAACAGAATTGAATTATGTGCTAAAAGCAGTAATTTACAGAAATTCAAAGTGAATTTCTAAACTCTACCATTGAAGTTGAAAGCAACATTTATGAATTTTGGTTGATAAACAACGAGGGGCATTGTTTGAGTCAGTTGGAGCCAGTCAGTGACATAACCCCTTTGTAACAGTCTGTTAAAGATGTCTGAAAAGCATCCCATTCTTTTCCCATGTGATGTTTTCTGTGTTGTTCAATGCTATAAGAATTTTGTCTACATTGTGGTCCGATGTCCAATGGAATAATTGTCTTTCTCTATGGTCTCAAGCCCAGGCTTCAAGTCAACGCTCCAGTGCTTGCATGCTTGCCCAAACCCTGATCTGAGACAGGACCAGCCTGAGTGGCTCTTATCTGGCTGTAAGTATGCACTAACTTCCTATAACCTCTCAAGAAGCTGCCTCCGAGAAAAGGCTATATTAACTAAATGGTGTATAAACCAAATATGTACCTAAATTTTAAGTCTTAAAAAAAATTGGCTCCCCAGAGTACCATAAAAGAGTTTATTGTGATTTGGGTAAATAACCTTCTAATAATCAGGTATAGATGAGCTAACTATGGAATCTGCCATCTAAATTAGGATGCTATAAATTTAAGTGCCCAGATAAAGTCTGAGATCATTCCTGGTAAAATGACCCCTTTACTTATCGAAACACAGGCCACATATATTAGTCTCAATGGCCTCAACTGCTCACATTACACGTTTCTCTTCCCCAAATGTAACAGGTATAGGCCTTAAGGATGTCTGCTGGCCATAGCAGGCTTTGTGTTTTGCTCTTGAAGGTGGTGGCAGCTCTTAATGTACAGTCTGAAGACATGTGCCCTTGCTGGCAAAGCAGCCTTCAGGTGCTCCATGGCCACCTGTCAGGTCAAGGCACCGCTTTCAGACAAAGGTCCATTGTTGGCTGCAGAAAACAGCTTTTCTTTGGGACCCTAATCTAAAAGGTCTTTAAAGGCTTGTTTGTTGATGTGGAAACCCGAGTGATTCTGTTGGGCTCCATCAGTGAACCAACCTAGCAGGAGCTAAGGTCTCCTGCTGCTCACACCAAGAACAAAGGAGCCGATAACAGGCCGGCTGTACTCTTCACAGAAACCAGTCTTGGTTGCTGTGAGAACACAGAAAAAGCGGGCTGCTGGAGGCTTTAGCGTGAACAAACTTGTAGGAAAACACGCGCAGTCCTTCTCTCAAAGCACCGGCCAAAACCCGCTGCTCGCGCCTCCCTGCTCAGTCGGGAGGACTGCTAAGTGATCTAGGCAGAAGATGCTCTGTCCCAGGAAGTCTCTGGTCGGCTGCGCGGGCCTCTGCTACATTTTGGGGGACAGCAGGGTTTGGGCGGTTACAGGGAGGAGGTTGGACACTGGCCCTTTTCCATCAGTGGCCAAAGCCACACTTTCCTGACAGACGACCCAGGCAGGTCGTGCGGTCCATCCAGCCACTCGGCCTGTCCCCACACTTCAAACTAATCAAAGCCACACCGGGAAGAGTAGATGGATGTGGAGGGAAACATCACAACGACTCGGACGCACGACAGTACGGTCGCCGAAGCAGTTCCGCGTGCAAGCGCCATCTGATACCCCTAGAAGCTTAAGTAACGCACTGACACTTTGCCCAATCCTTTGGTCGCTAGCAACCAGCTACAACTCACGTAGCTTCTCCAGCGACTCCCAGTCCTACCAAAGCGCCTGCGCGAAGCCGTCCCACCGCCCGCCCGCTCTGGAGCTTGAGCGTGGCGCCTGCTGCCAGCGCTCTGCGGAGCTTCAACTAACCTCTCTGATTCTTGGACGGGGCTGTGTTTCTCATCGCTGGCATCGACTGGTTCCGCCGGGGCGAAAATTCCACGCCCGGCCTTCTCGTCCTCACGAACTACACCGGGGAGCATCGATCATTCCCGACTCGGCTGATCGCGACGAGAGCCTAGAGGAGCGCCGAGCGATCGATGCCCAGCCCCGCCCTCTTCGGGTCAAAGACTGGCGGCCTGAGCTATTTTTTCCGGGTTGTGCCTTGCCAGTTTCTCATCCACGATTTTACCTAATCCTTCCAACTCAGATGACTAGTTGTCCCTATTTTACATCGTAGGAAGCCACAAAGTTTTGAAAGTCACAAGTATAATTTGAACCCCCGAGTATGGCAGCTAGAGCTGGTTCCGGTGAGGCGGCCTCGGGTTTCCGTGCAGAGACGGGCAGGTGCAGAAGGCTTGGGAGTCACCGCTAGTTTTGTGTTTTGAGCATTCTTTCCCGGTGGGTTCCAGAGGTGCTGGGTTTGCAGCAGCAGCTGATGCCCTGTAAAGCTCCGCTAGCCTTGGGTTTGGAGTGTGGTCAGAAAAGCGTGAGGGAATTTATTTATTGCTCAGCAGGGACGAGCTGGTGAGGCACCCCTCGGTTTTCATCCTCTCAACAATCCTAAGTAGCGATGAGGAAGGGGTGTGATGTTTGCTCAAGGGCAGCGCTAGGGAACAGTAGTTTTCTAGGTGCTGTGGTTGGTAATATAGTTTTGTTTTCTGTTAAAGAGTTAAAAGGCAGGAAAAAAATCTCGAATTCAACAGGTAGCAGCAGAGAAATCTCAAACACCACAGACAGCAGCAAACACACGTAGAAAAAGACCCTCTGCAAAGCTGGTGGAGTGGGGTTGGAAAGCCAAAAATTCCAGTCTCTTTACGAGACTTTTTTTTAAAAAATAAATTCCTTCCCTAATTTGGGGTGGTGGGATTTTGTTTTGGCTCGGTTTGGTTCTGCTTTTTTTCGAGAGAGAGAGTTTCTGTGTAGCTTTGGAGCCTGTCCTGGAATTCGCGCTGTAGACCAGGCTGGCATTGAACTAGAGATCCACCTGCCTCCGCCTCCTGAGATTAAAGGCGTGCTCCAACATCACCAGGCAGGGTTGGTGGTTTAAAAAAAGGATGTTTGTCCAGCAACTGTTGGGTGGTAAGTCCTGATCTGGTCCTAAACTTGTTGAGCCAGTCGATCAACAGGAGTCCTGCTAGTGGGAGACAACGCCTATAAGGCCTTTGTTGTAAGATGTCAGGCTTTTGTCTCAAGTCAGAAGGGTCAGGAAGAAGTCGGCCATCTTGAAAGTGTGATACCTTATTAAGTAGCCATGGCTCTTCTCCATATCTGTGTGCCTACCAGGAAGTCTAACGCCTCTCACTAGAGTGCATGCACACGCACATATACACACACATGCACACCCTTTGAAAACTTCAAAGCCATACCTAGCTGTTGCTGTTATCACCGACCCCAGGTATGGAGGGAGGAAATAGAGAGCAAAAAATCTGTCATTCTCTGAACCTGGCTTACCTTACCTTCACCACTTAGTGAGTGCTGAATTTTACCTGAGCACAGTATCCTTGGGAAACAGTAAAGAAACACATCTTATCAGCTCTTTATATTGCAGCAAACAGCTTACGGCAGAACAACAGCCTTCCCATAGTGCTTAGGCAGAACTCCTAATGCTCCTTCATTCCCTGGGATGGGCCAGGCAGTCCCTCCAATCCCTGGATGTTGGTCCCCTATAGCCACACACAGCATGACCCCAGGGTACAGTGACTGACCTACTAGGCAGCATCCTTCCTTCTTCATTTCACTCCCTGAGTTTTCTAGTTTTGAATTTCTTCTCTGTGAAAGAAAAGTTCAAACTAGGAGGATGATCCATCAGTAAAGTTTGTTCTGCAAGTACGGAGTTCTGAGTTCAAGTCCTCGGTACCCAAGTGTAGGAGCAGGTACCTTACAGTTCCAGAACTAGGGAGGCAAAGACAGGAAGATTGCTGGGTTTGCTGTCCCGTCAGTCCAACAGAATCAGTGAGGTCCAGGATCAGGGAGAGATGCTGTCTCAAAGATAAGGTAAAGAGCAATTTGGGAAGATATCCAACCTCTGAATCCCTTATGTTCCTCTCCTAACCCTTCTCTCTCTGTTCTTTTTGTCCAACCTTCAGGGCACATAGTGGCATTTCATTTGTATTTTAATAAATAAAGCTTGCCTGAGGATCAGAAAAGTAAAACAGCCACACTGGCCAGCCTTACAGATCAGGCAGCAACAACACACACCTTTAATCCCAGTAGCCACACTAGTTTGCCATAGAAACCAGACAGTAGTGGTGCATACCTTTACTCCCAGCACTAGAGAGGAATATAAAATGGGAGGAGACAGCTTTCAGTTCCAGTCTCACTCTGAGGTTTCCTGGAGGCAGGATCACCATTTTTGGACTGTTGGGGTAAAAGCCAGTGACTGGCCACTTTGCTTTTCTGGTCTTCAGTTTGAAGCCCAATATCTGTCTCTGAGTTTTTATTCATCATGCTTCAAGGGCACTTGCAGACCTCCTGGCCACAAACTCTCTACTGCAATAGATGAGTGGAAAAAATAAAATAAAAAGGAAAGGAGATGACCGCTCCTAGATAGCGCATGGTGGAGGAGAAAGTTTGTTGTAGGTGAAAGGGAGCCATAGTCAGAGGTAGGGACATCAGGGAAGTCCCTGAGCGCTGTGCGGAGAGTGGGGAGGGAAAAGAAGAGGGGAGGAGGGGGAACTAGGTGTAGCAGCCAGGAGGCCAAAGCTATAAAAGGGGCAGGTAACCAAAATGACTGGACTATATAGGGAAGAACCTCTGAAGAGAGTGAAGCCCAGCCCCCGCTGCGTCTCTTTCCTCCTTTCAAATAAAAAACAAAACCTCTTTCCTAGGCTTGAATTTGATCTTTATTTGGCAGTGGTTAGTGGGTGAGAGGTTATAGGGATACTGTGGTCGGGTGGACGTTAGATTCTCAGTTGTATAGACAAATTCCACCGCCATCATGGAAGGAGACTTGAACCTGGAACCTGCAGGTCCCAAAGTCCTCTCGCACTGTGTTTGGGAATAGGATTCTGGCAGCAGCCTCTGGCATGGAGCGCTGCCAGCCAGAGAGACAAACACCCCTTTGTAAGCTTGATTATGGCTTTCGTTCAGTGCTGGAGATAAAACTCAGGGTCTCATATAGACTAACACGCTCTCCCACCGAGCAACACGGCTGGCCTTGTTTGTGTATTCAGAACCAGCTCATGATGAATTACAGGCATAAAGAAAATGTCTCCTTAAAAGAACTGTAATTTTTCGCCACTGTAGGGGTTTTACTTCCTGTCATCTTTTTATCACAGCCCCCATTCCCAGCAGCTTTGGAATTGGCCATTAAGCTGCCAGACCCATTTGAGAGCCATGAAAGGCACCAAACAAACAAAAGGAATCATTAATGCCCATATTTGTGATTTTTCTCCATTAGATCAGAAGCCTATAATTTAAATATGTCCAACTGCTATGGGAACATTTGTGGCTTAATTATGAAATTTATTTAAAATATACAAACAAGAGTCTAAACTCAAAAACAACATTTAGCGTGGCTGTGGGAGAGACGTTTAATGCACTTCAGTTCCACAAAGAGAAGAGTGGAGACCTCCTAATGCCTGGCTCTTCCTTTGTGTGTGATGGAGGGCTGGTTACTATGCTATGCCCTTATTCCAGCTACATCATTGCCTCAGCAAGGAGCTGGTGAGCAAACCTACAATAACCTCAGCAAGGAGGTTACAGTCACCTTAGGATCCCAAGAAACGTGACCTTGGATGTTAGAACAATAAAAGCCAAGACACAGAGTCAGGCTGGCTGAGGGCCTTACTGTCATCCTCCTCCTCCATGGACTGGGCATAATGATCTGTCTCCAAGAAAAGACTGCTGAGCATCCCAAGTCATCTCTCTTGTTTGACCTGTCTCAAAACCCATGTGTTCCAGCTCCTCCTAGTAATGCTGTGCCATCTTTCCTGCTTTGCCTGAGGAGCAGTTTTCTCTGAATTGAAATATTTCATCTGAAGGGAAGTTCCTTGGGACTCAAGGAATTCTAAAGAGAGGCCCCTTAAGACTCAGGAAGTACCTGAGACCAGATGCATGAGGTCCCTCCCTCCCTGAGATTAAACAGTAGTAAGGACTGCGGAGGGGTGGGGACTTGGCAAACTTTCCAGATGTCTACAGGTGGTGCAGAGAGCTGCAGGGTTCCATCGCCCTGATACCTCCAGGGATCATCGCTATTTATTAGATTTGGATCTAAGGTGTCCTCCCACTACCTTTGTAGATAGCTTTGTCCCCACCTGATGGTGTTTTTCAGACAGTAGTTCTCATTCGTCCTAATGCTCATGTCGTGGTGACCCCCCAACCACAAAATTACTTTTGTTGCTACTTCATAAGTCTGATTTTGCTACTGTTATGATTTGTAATGTAAATATACAATAGGCAGGATATCTGATATGTGACCCTTGTGAGAGGGGTGGTGACCCACAGGTTGAGAACCATTGTTTTAAGAGCTAAATAAAATTTTAGGTGGTAGGTACTCTCTTTTGGAAAAAGTAGATTTTTTTTAGAGGTGTCTTAGGACTCTAGGTGCTTCTCCTCTGTCTTTGCTTCCCAGCTTCCAGGGGGTAAACAACTTTTCTCAAACACAGGCTCCTGCTGTGACATTCTGCCTTAGCACAGACCCAGAGTGATGGGGCCAAGTGACCATGGATTTAGACATCTAAAACTACGAGGAATCTATGCCTCATACTCATACCCTTTCTCCTTTAAAGTTGATCTCTCTCCGGTGTTTTGTCCCAATGAGAAAGAGCTGCCCAACACACCACCTTGGGCCTTTGGAAGATAAAAAGGTCTTGTTTGGTCTTCCTTTCCCATGTGCATCAGCTGCTTCTCACGGTGGCGAGAAAACGCCTGACAAACGCAACCTAAGTAAGGAAGGATTGATCTTGACTTCCAGTCTATCCTGCAGGGCGACATGGTGGCTGGAACACGAGGCAGCAGGTCACACTGCACGCATTATCAGGAAGTGGAGAGGGATGGGTGCTGTTACTCAGATTTTCCCTTCTTATTCAGTCCCAGAGCCCAGTTAATGGAAGAGTGTTGCTCACAGTTGGGTGGCTCTCTCCAACTCAATTAACCCAATCTAGAAGCTCCCTCCTAG